TATTTTTCAGCTCTGGACTAAGTTGATTAAAGAGTTTTACTCCAAGATAACTTATGTCTGTTCCTAGATGCTAATTAAGTTGATAAATGATGCCAATTACAGGAAGAACGTTAACAGCATGGGATTTAAACAAATCGACCGTAGGATGACATGAATCCAGATTGAAAATCATTTTGATGCATCTGCTTTGGAGTCTTTGCAGTCTTGTGATCTCGCCTTTATTTAACTTGGCGTAGAAGAAGGAACAGTTTTGGATGTGTGACATAAAATGAGCATGAAAATATTCTAGTAATAATTCTCTTGGTAAGTGATGCCTAATTATAGGTTTCTCTTTCCTTTCACACAGAGGAAAAGCCTCCTTAAACAGTACTTAAACTATTTTAAGCGGCATAAAAACCTCTGCATTAACATACAATAAAATAAAATATAAAAAAAAAGTTTCAATGTAACATGTACCTTAAAGAAACTTAAAAATTAAACATACAGATATTAACGGTCATTCTTAATTTGAAAAATATGTTTTTAACTGACTAAAACAAAACATTTCGTAAATATGAAAATTTGATCATGTCAGAGATAAAAGTGTAAAAAATAAATAAATAAATAAAAATATTTGTATACAAAATTTTTGGTAATAAAGTCATTTTTCAAAATTGTCAATAGCAAAAAAGTATTCTGGCTCGAAACAAAGGCGATATAACGCTAGATGCAGCCAAAAATATCAAACATTTTTAACAAAAACATAGATAAAATGAGAATATTAGACATTAGTCTCCTCATATTAGAGGAACGTTTGTTTCAGTTTTATAGAGGTAACACCGAGGTTTAGTTTTTTTTATAGCGCTTTAAGTCATATCATAACATTGCTATGCCTCGATTTAAGTTTGTTTCTTTAAAGTTTACTTTGCTTTTAGTAAGGACATTTTTCATCAAAAATTTTCAGTGAATTTTCCTGAAATGATATATCTTTTTGTATTAACTAGGCATTCATGATTTACCGGACCCAAAAACATCGGGAACTGGACAAAAATTTAAACTCAAATATCAAACATGCTCCTGGAAATTTGGAAGATTTTTTTGTGTTCAAATGATGAATCTTTTCAATTGAGATAATTTGACATTAAAATTTTTTGGATAACTATTTTTATTCATCGAGTTTCTGTCCCAAAAATTTGGGGAACAGGAAATCGTGAAAGTCTAGTATCAACTATAAGACCAAAAAAAAAAAAATAAGAATAATTTTGACAAAGAAAGAAGAAAATATAGTTTTATATTGTCTTAGAGATGCAGTTGTTGAAAATATGTATTTTCAAAAAAAAACAAATGCTAAAAACCATTTGATAAGTTTGTTAAATTATATTCCTTCTTAATCGCCTTCTTGTCAGAGGTAAAAAAATTCAAATCGTCAAAGTAATGTTTGAATACACTTAAAACCTTATACTTTAATTAAAAAATTTGTATAAAACGTAATGCAGTTTGCTATAAAGAGTGATAAATCTTGTGAAAATGAAACCAATCTATTTAATTTTGATTCCTTATTGACATTTAATAATAGTTTACGTAATAAACTTCGTACCTGTACGGTTTTATGCATGAGAATTGTATGAAATCAATTCTTGATTTGCATCAGTCTAGCTTTACAAAATAATTTTGAACTTTTTACTATTTTATAGCCATTACACAATCAGAAATTCTCTTTTAATGGAAAACTGAAGTTTGTGCTAGTTTTTCATAAAATAGCCCTGCTAATTTTCAATTATAATGTTAATTTATCAAAAAAAAATTGTTATCTATCAATATTAAAATCAAATTGTTGAAAACTCAAAAAATATTTAATTTCTTTTAAAATTTGGTTCTTGAATAATTAAATTTCAGTATTGTAAGTATTGTAAAGTATTGTAAATTTATATGAAAAGTATTGTAAATATTGTACAATACTTACAATGCTTACAATACTTATATGGCAAGTATTGTAAGTATTGTAGGTATTGTACAATACTACAATACTTGTATGGAAAGTATTATAAGTATTGTAAGTATTGTACAATACCGTACAATACTTTGGAGTGTCTGACCCTTGTGAAATTTATCACTAATCGATGTAAAAAGTAAAAACATGTATAAATGTTCGCGGTACCGTCGTAAAATAAATAATAATAATAATAGATTAGTTTTCCTGAGTTTTGCAGATTGATAATTTAGCAAAGCTTTAAACCGAGGATTGGAAATCAAAATAATTATAATAATAATCCCTTATTTAATTCATAATATAAGTCGGAACAAAAATGAGTCTAGCTTGATATTAACCTCGTCGGTTTTAAATCAAATGTTATAATGAGATATAATTGTTAATATGACATAGAAGTGTTTTTGAAAATAATGAATTGCGGTCAAAAAAAAAAAAAGAAAATATATTACAAAAATACCAAGTTGACAAACAATAATTAATTTAAAATTTAAAAAAAAAAAAAAAAAGATAGAACAAAGAAAAAAAAATAGCTAGATGTTCAATGACGAGGTTTCGGTAATTTGTGTTTTACTCGAAAGTCCAGTGAATCATAATTGTATTGGCCAAGTGATGAAAGTAACTCATTTGAGTGGTGAATAACTTTCGAGTAGAAATTGTCGGTGAGACGGGATATGAAATTTGACATAAGTGGTATATTAGCAGAGACATGAATTTCCTGGACTGTTTGGAAATCAGACCAATCGACATTGAGTATCATTCTAATAATTTTATTTTGGAAAAGCTGCAGCTTTTTAAGATGACAAGAGGCAGCATTTGCAAAAATTGGACATGCATAAGTCACAATCGGTCTGACGAATAACTTGTAGATTCTTATTTTCGAATCAACAGTGGTTGCTGACTTTCTACTCAGCAGACAGTAAAGGCTTGAAAAGCTTGCAGCACTAGCTTTTTGAATGGAACGATCAATGTGATGCTTGAATGTCAATTTCCGATCGAGAATTACGCCCAAATATTTAACTGACTCTTTCCAGTTGAATGACTGGCCGTTGAAACTGATCGAGTCATTGCCTAATCTTTGGATCATTTTTGTCGACTTGGAAAAGATAATGAACTCTGTCTTAGACTCATTTAGTTTGATTTTCCAATCATGAAAAAAGCTTTGGAGATTACTTACTGTTTTAGACAGTTCAGATTTAATTGACTTCAGATTCTTCCAAGGATATTGAACAAAGAAAGCTGTATCATCAGCGTATAAGCAAAGATGACCTGTGGATGGAATTGGAACATCGTTGATGAACAGGTTGAATAAATGCGGAGAAATCAGGGAGCCTTGTGGAACTCCAGACGTGACTTCAAAAAGATAAGAAAAAGCTGATTGACATACTACGAAAGCTGAACGATTGGAAAGAAAGGATTGCAAGAGCTTGATTAGATAAGTTGGATACTTGTAGACAATAAGTTTGTGAATTAATCCATCGTGCCAGACACTATCGAATGCCTTTCGTAAATCGAGTAATGCCATCCCAGTGCTTTTATTCTCGTTGAAACCAAATGAGATTTTCTCGGAGATCCTTAAAATTTGATGGACTGTGGAATGATTGGATCTAAATCCACACTGCTGCTTAATAATGATGTTGTTGTCACATTCAAAGTCATTTAAACGTATTAGAATAATTCTTTCAAAACATTTGCCAAGACAAGAAAGAAGCGATATCGGACGAAAATCATCAGGAGAACTGCAATTTGTTTTTCCTTTTGAAATCGGCATTATCTTTGCAATTTTCCAGCTATTTGGGAAATATGAAAGATTAATGCAGGAGTTGAATAAATTTGCACACACTGAGACAAATTGCGAAGAATCACTCAAGACTTTTAAGGCACAATTGGGAATATTGTCATGTCCAAAAGCTTTACGAGGATTTAAAGCTTGCATAACAATTTTAATGTCTTTTTCAGACACTGGTTCAGTGGGGGAGTCATTTAGACTTGCAATTGACCTAATGGAATTATTAACTAGGCTTTCAAACTTTGAACTTGAGCGTTGGACAGCATTGAATGCCTCTTCAAACGAGCGAGCAAAAGAATTTGCTTTGTCCATATCTGAATAATTAGTCCCTAAACTATCAATGATTGGAGGAAAGGAACAATTCTTTCTCTTTAAGGATTTAGCGAAACGGAAAAGTGAATTGTCCTTAAACGATAGCGACTGCAACTTGTCTTTAAAATCATTTTCTTTTTCACGTCTGACTTGCTGATTTATCATTCTGTTTAGAAGATTCACTGATGATTTGTAGGTAGGATCCTGGGTCCGTTTAAACAAATTGCGGAAGTGGTTACGATTTTTAACTAGCAAGTTAACAGAATGCGAATATTTATACCGATGAAGGAACGACTTTTTCCTAGGAGCAGAACTTTCAAGTGCTGAAGAAATTATGGAAGAAATGCTAGTGATAATGCCATCAATTACATCAACAGATGACATTTCAGCTGAGATTAGTGGATGCAAATTAACTTCAACCAACTTCCGGAACTTTGGCCAATTGACTTTGGACAAATTTAAATGATTAGACTCCTGTTGGCATGCAGCACCTCTGATGGAAAAGAATAACGGCAAATGATCTGAAGATAAATCATTAAGAACTTGAATTGCACTGAGTGACGAGAAGGATTTGGCGACAATAAAGGAAATCAAAATAAAAATCAAAAGATTTCGCTAAAATTTTGAAAACATCAAATCAAAATGATCGCGATCATTAGAATCTATTTAGAATTAATTCTTATAGAAGATTATAGAAACTTTGAAACATAACTTATTGACATAATTATATAAATATCTTGGAAAAAAGAAAAATGTAAAACTTTCTGATTCCTGACTTGTAATCAACAAACGAACATCATCAATTACGCACATATATTGCACGTTTTGTGTAAAATATGAAAGCTAAAGAGTTTAAATCTTTCTTTAAAAAAGTTGATGCTATATTTTCTCTCAATCAAAAAATTATTTTTGTAATTTTTTTAATAAAAAGCATTTATAATTTATTTATTTTGAATCGCACATTTTTACTCTAAAACATATTTAATAACAATTTTTAAGCCTTTTTTTATTGTATTGCATGCTTGATTTTTAAAGAAGCTCTATCATATGTGATATCATATTAGGTGCGATACTGGCGAAAATCTCATAAGTTTCGATAAAAATATCCATAAGAACGAAGCTAAAGCACATAAAACAACACCTCCCCATCCCAAGTCTCTGTATATAGAAAAAAAAATCGAAATGTAAGAGTTGCTTCTGTTTTTGAACTATTATCTTAAAATTCTTACAATGACCATGACGTAGTAAATATTCTTGCACCGAGAAGATTTTGAGCAAATGCCGGTTCCTGAGATTGAACTCCTTCCACAGTTCCATCATAATCACTATCCAATGACTTTCCTTTTTGACGTTTGAAATGTATTATCATAAGCGTGAACAATGCAAAAAGTGCTAAAAGAAAATAAGCAATTAATATTTGATATTCCAAAAAATTTAAACTGAATATACCGGCAAGAAGATACATAACACCAGTGACTAAAATTGCACTTATTTGACGTTGACAAACACCAAAAGCCCCAATTAGTGCTGCAGAACCAAGAATAATTAGACATACAAGGGCGCATGATATCGACAAATTTTGCATTCCTAATAACAAAAAAAAAGACGTTTGATAATATTTAAATCAATTGATGTTTCTGTACATATTACTTAAATGAGGCTGGAGCGAAGTCTGAGATTCAACATGCTGCCAATCTGGTAACTTTAAATCATCATTTTTTGTATTTTCTGAGTTCTGGGTTAGATAGTTGAAACAAAGGTTTACATTTGGAAATCCTTTTGGTCTTAATCGCACAATTTCTTCTTCTTTTAAATTAAAACAAAGTGACCAAATTCCTAAATGAAATCATTAAAATAAAGTATGAAAACACAATATTTTTTTTTAAATCCTTACCACCGTGCATTGAAACAAAGAAGACTCCACCGTTCTCAGGATCTATAATTTTTTTTTTTTGGAAGATTTGTGTTTTGCGAGATCGTTATCATTAGTTTTGGTAAATAAATTAATACTTACTACTTTTAAGAGGAAGTCTCACTACTTTTTCATCGAGAAGAAATTCGTATTTATTTGAAAATGTTTGTGATTCTGTTCGATTTATTATATCTATTAAAGCACTATTATCCCATAATATATTTTCCCAATGATCTGCCGAAAAAAATAGAATAACAAGAAAACTTGAAAATTAAATGAAAGTAGACTGAATAGTAATTACCAGTTAAAAATGCAGCACATAGCATTGACGTAGCGCTTGTTGTCATAATAAGGGTGATGAGAAGAAAAATTATTATTGGAGGTGTATTACAGAAACCGTTAATTTGTGTTTGTTGAGAATTTTCTTGGTGACTCTGCATGTCATAAAATGACGGTGATTTATCTCGAATGAAATCAAAATTATCAGATTTTTTTTGGGCTGTTAAATATTGTTGATAGTTAGAGTTATTAATTCCGAATATTTGATCAAAATCATACTGATGAGTGGATTTTCTTTTTTGCTGCTCAGCTTTTAGTTGAAGATGTTCAGTTTTTGTATTGCTTGATGTGAGATTAGATTCTAAGAAGCTTGCATTGGTTTGTTGTGGACTTATTTGAGAAATATTTCGATGTATAACAGGCCAAGAACGCGTTGTTGAGGAATTACGAGTATAATTTGAGTTATGAGTTTCAGAAAATGAACTTTGAGGACATTTTTGAGATGAATATGAACTATTCTGTTGATAAGATAAAGAAGTATTCAGGAAAGGATTTTTTTCAACTGTACAGTCATGTTCTTTAGACTCAAAATCAATGTTGCTTTCATATTCAGACGATGGTGGCACTACAATGCATTTTGTTAATTCCTTAGATTTATCGCTTTCGCGTTTCTTTATGAGTCATAAATCCGTTTCTTTTTTCTTCATTTTTATCAGTATTCGATAGAAAGCTGGTGTATTTTATTCTATAAAATAAAAAAAAAAAACACAAACATACAAGCATATTATTTAGAATCGTAATATTTCATGATGCATTTAACTTTTTGCGTCTACTTTATTGATTTTTTTTAAATATACGTATTTAATTAATTGACACATGTTACAAACATGTCAACTTATACAACTTAATACTTTAGATTTGTCTCTTATAAGAGACGAGACAACCTTCTTTCTTGCTACTCACAAAACTTTAACTTGTCATTTCATGTATATTTGTTAATAATATTTCCAATTTTAGATTGTCAGATTGTTTACTTTATGATTTAATAATAATCATGAAAAAACAAAAAAATTAATTGAATTTAGCTTTTTAAATGACAAATTGTTTCAAAATCTAATACCTACATAACATGTTAGATAATCAAACATGGGTTCTTAAAAAAAATATTTTAAGGAAAAATTTTAGCACTGATAACTTTTACCGACTATAATTAATTATGAAATATATTTACTTATGATTTCGTCAGGTTTAATCATATTAAAACTTGTATAATTTTTAAATATATAAAAGCATAACTCACTTTTTTTAATTTTTGGAAACTGAATGAAAATCCTACAAAAAAGAAAATTTCCGGTATTAGAGAGGAAAGAGAAAAAAAAACAACAACCATTAAAAGCAAAACTTTTTAATTCTCTTTAAAAAATCTCTCATTTTAGGTTATTTAAATCAATCATTTAAATTTCCAAAAGATTATTAAAAAACTCTTTGCAATATTTATTTGATTTTCAACTTGAACTTTGACGGAATATAGAAATTTTGAAACGAATTAAAATATAATATTTTAAAATAATTTGTTATAGTTTCCTAAATTAGAGTCTTAAAACAAATCATAAATTTTATGAATTTCACTATGAATTTTAAGTAACAAATTAAAGTTAGAGAATAAGAAAATAATTTTAAACCACTAGAAAATTAAAACTTGGACGATATTTGAATCCCTAAACTTTGAACAGCTGTTGACGGATAATTGAAGAAAACATAATCTATAGTTTTTTATTTACAAAGCAAAAACGAAATAAAAACTTCAAATGCGCATGCTTGTTTTAAATTATTATAAACAGCGCTTAGCTCAATTTTTCTCACCCACACTATGATCGTTCTAAAGTATTTTATTGATTTTTCATCAAAATATTCGCTTATAACAAATTAAGTTTTGTAAGTTGAATTTAAAACAGTTCTTCAAACATTAGTTTTGTTAAATAAAATTGCATTAATCCTAAACTTCTGAGAAATTTTTAAATTTGTTCTGAAATCTGTAATTTTTTGAAAAATAGAACAAAAAATTATCTTTTTGTTTTTTGTTCCTTTTAAACATTTTAAAAAGTTAAAATTTTGTTGAGAAAATCTAATTCAGCAATACATTACCGGTGAATTATGTCCAGATTATTCTTTTAGGATCTCAACAATTCTAAGTCAGTCTCAAACAGATAAGGATGCAAAAGAGACGTGAAAACCAAAAATGGGTTTCTCATAATAAAGTACTAATTGGAAGTGGAGATGGAGTGAATAAGAAACCTCATGCTAGAAATCCAAATTTTGACAGTGAAGAAACTAAACTACTTATTCAGTTATGGGGGAATAAAGATGTGCAGCGTCAACTTATAACGGTTCACAAGAAACATCCCGTTATTTCAAAAATTGCAGAAAAAATGAGAGTTTATGGATATAATCGATCCACAGAAGAAATTAACACTAGAATTAAAAATCTAAAGTGTTTATACAATAGGATCAAAAAAGATTTAGATTCAGGCTTGCTAAACGAGCCTTCGTGGAAACATTTTCAAAGTATGGATGAAATACTTAGTAGACCGGTTTTTGGAAATAGCTCCTCTAATAAGCATCCTTTAACTAACAAGATTATAATTTCTCCCTCAAGTACGAGTACAAACCTTAAATCCGAAGATCAACATCTATCTTTATATCATTTTAAAGAGGAAGAAATGTCAGATGACGATGAAGAAGAAAGAAGTAGTAGTATTGACTTAGAAGGAAACGAATTAAGACCTGAAGACTTATTAAGTGTAATTGAAACTGAACATGAACACAATGTTCAAATTAAGGAAGAACCAATGGATGATAGTATTACTATAATTAAAACTAAGACTAATGAGTAAGTGATTAAAATAATTTATTTAAAAGTATAATTTAATTTTTAACATGTAAAAACCAGAGATCGAAGCCGATTTTTTCGGCTTAACTCAATTTTTGATTTTTTTGATAGAAAAAAGCTATTTAACACCCATTTCAAGTAGCTAAATTGAACTTTACATGCTTTACTATGATTCTGCGAAATATTTTGTCAGCATGTAGCTATAGGAAGCTCAGAATTTCAAGTTAAAGAATGTTAAGCCGAAATTTAAGCCGATCGGCTTAAAATCGGCTAAATTGAAATTCAGAGCTTACTATAGCTACATGCTGAAAAAATATTTCACAGAATCATAGTAAAGCATGTAAAGTTCAATTTAAACACTTGAAATGGGTGTCAAATGGCTTTTTTCTATCAAAAAAATCAAAAATTGAGTTAAGCCGAAAAAATCGGCTTCGATCTCTGGTAAAAACTTAGTAATTAATTCAATCGTGAACGTTTTATTTAAGAAAACCTGATGCAGATTCTTCCACTGATCTTTCATTGCAAAATGACGACGAGCAGAAACAAATTAATTCTACATCTTTCGCTTTACATCTAAACAAAACCAATAGTATAACGAATTATGCAAATGAAGCTTTAAGCATTACCTCAGTACATGGAAACAATGCTATTGGACAAGAAACAACATCAAATTTATCAAATCAATCGTCAAGTAAAATAAGTTTAGTTCCAACACAGCTTTTGTTAAAATCTCAAGGAACATTAAGTGGTTTTAAATCAACTTCACATGTTGTTGTTCCTACTTCCGTAAATAATAATCCTCAAACCCAAAGTTCATCAACAGTTCCTATGAAAGTTGTATTTGTAAACACTTTGAATAGTAATCACAATGCTCAACAGTCAATAGCAAAGCACCAAATTTCGCTCAATAAGTCACTTGCACAACTTCATGCTCAAGGTTCAAACTCAACATTTATTTCAAATAAATTAATTCAAAGTACTAGTCAGCCGCAACAACAATTAACAAGTAATCAGCTACTTACGTCCAATTCAACAACATCTATATCATCGTCGACTACAAAGACAAATTCTAATAATATCAATACTCATCAGAATCACCATCACCAATCGACTGGGAAATCAAACAAATCTTTACTAGGAAATAGTAAATTACCTGGTAATATGCAATTAAAAAATCATTTGATTATAATATTTTATTTAAAATCTTATTTATTTCAGTAATTCGAAACTTACTTACGAATATAGTCGATATTGAAAACCAAAGGCTAGATATAGAAAAGCAACGTTTTGAATATGAAAAAAAAGTTGGAAATGAAATTTTGTCGCTAATTCGATCGTTTGTTCAACATTTACCACATGAAAAGAGTGAACAAATGACTGATAACGAAAGCAAAGAATAATTGCTTTTAAATATTTATTACCAGAATGGGAAATTAATTGAGGTATCAAATTGTATTTTAGGTAAATATTCTTACTTTTTATAAAAGTATGACGATACAGTTTTAATTATTTTATTGTAAATTTGTATAAAGATATTAAAGAAAGAAAAAATGTGACAAATTCAAAGCAAACTATTGTATCGGGTAGAAACCTAATGCGGATATATTCACACCGTACCCTCAAAAGTTTTGTTAATAGGCAAAGCTTTGCTCAGCATGTATTTGAAAGTGTAAGCAATGTAAATCCTCAGCTATGTTGCTTTATTTCCTCACAAAATGCGAAAAACTGAATTTTCAATCTGAGCAAAAACAAAACATTCACACGTGAATACGGTGTGAATATAAAAAAAAAATAGTCTGGATTAAAATGATCTAGGAGCATTTGAAGTATTTGAAGTAGACAACATAATTAATACACATGTGAGGAAGAAAATTCAATAAAACTCCGCCAAATTATCAATTATACCAAAAATTTAAAATGTTTGTAAGAATAAATTAAAATAATAAAAAGTAGCATAGGTGTAAAATAAACACCAGAATGTACATATTTCTATTAAGATTTTTGTTAAAAGTATTTATTTAAATTCTTGGAAAATGACCATCAAAACATTTTTTGAAATCATTTTTCAAAATGTTTCAATTAAGTTTTTTTTTCTTTTACCAAGCAATTAATACTGAACTGAATTAATATATTTTTTTAATTACATGATGTTAAAAGATTTTTTTTTATGATTATATAGCATGATCTGGAAAGGTACCGCATGGGAGTTTATTAAAAATACGTTAAAACTAGTGTATCGGGTAGAAACCCAATGCGGATATATTCACACCGTACCATCAAAAGTCTTATGGATAGACCAAGATTTGCTCAGTATAAGTTTGAAGTTATAAAGCAAGCAAGTCAGCTGAGCTTCGCTCAGCATAAGTTTGAACATATAAAGCTAGCAATCCAAAGTTTAATCTAAAAAAAAATCACAGTGAACTTTTGTTTTGAAAAATTCGTAAGAAAGGAAAGTTTTTTGCTTTTTCTGAAGCAACGGCTGCTCCTACCTTGTCCAAAAACAATACAGCTCTTCTATAGAGCAGCACGGGTCAAATGTAAAAACTAGAAGTCTCTACGATGTCTCGTTATTGTGATTTCTTGCTGATTAACTTGCTTGCGTGTTTGCTTATAGAAAGCGTATTTTGCGATTTTCTCAGCAATGCCGCAAGCAATTTGAAATCTGTTTTTTTATATATTTTTTTTGCAAAGGATGTCAAATTTCAGGCACAAAGCTTTCATATCTGAAAATTTTAAGCTATCTTGCTCCATATCCTCAAAAAATTCAAAAAACTGATTTTTCAATCTTAACAAAACCAATAGATTCACACGTGAAAACGGTGTGAATATAAAAATTCAAAGGTTTACACAATGTATTACGAAAATTTAATTTTCTAACAAAATTTAAACATTTCAAATATCCGATTTATTTTCTCAGTTATTTACATTTTGTGCTCACTACTAGAGGGCTTCATGTTCATTTTACGAAATTTCATTTTAATTCAGTAGCTATAGTGGATCACTTTTCGATTATTTTACTTTTTACTCAATATAATTTAAATTTGCATGAAATAAACAAAGCATTAGCAATGAATTGATTCTAATGTGCTCTTGAAACCAAGTTTTCTAAAGTAAATTGTGTAAATTTATTGAAATTTAATACATTTGTGAAATTTTAGAAAAAGGTAAATGAGTCACAAAAAAAAATTGACCGAAATTTCTTTACTCTTATTATCTCCATTTACTTCGTTTATTTCTGCATTCATCATCAAAAAATTGATACCATTCCAGTTATTTGTGTAATTTAAAAAAGAAACAGTTTACCTAATTGTGATTTTAAATAAAAAATTCTTATATTGATTAAACAAAAAAAAAATAATATTATAATTTTAAAAGATGAAGACATACTTAAACTTGCATGAAAAACTTTTTTATGTGGCTTAACAACGATTTTAGAAGCATTTAAATGTCACGAAAAGTTTCTACGAAAATTATTATTCTATTAAAACTGTGAATTTATTAATTTTTTTTTTTATTGATATGTGGAGTTCATCATCATTATCATTTATATGTGTACTATATTGAAATGCAAAAAGGAAGGGAAATAAAAAAAAAACATTGCATGAATAATTAAAAAAAAACACATAAAGTCATTATGCGATATGTTTTCATCATTTTTAAAGCAATTTCTCTAACCGAAAAAGAAAACAGTAATAAAAAAGTTCTTTTTTCTACTAAAAAATGGGTTGCTTTTTTTGTAAATTAAATGATTTGTTTCTTCTTAAAACAAAGTTATAGAAGTAAAATCAAAGAGTTTTAAAAAAATGTACGAGATAGTTAAAAAGTTGAAAATACATTATTTCAATTGCAGTAGCAAGCTAAGAATAGACAATCTTATTTTGGAATATATGTATGCATGTTTAATTTTTTCTCGTTTTTTCCTTATGAAATGCATAGGCAGTAAATGAAAAAATTTTTTTGTACATTTCATCATCGTCTATCTGGTTCTTAATAAAGAATGTAAGATGTGTTTTTTTTTTTAACATAACACTTCGAAAATAATTAAAATTAGAATTAGAGGAAGGGACAAACTTCATAAATCAAAAATTAATTATTGCATGTGTCTATAGTGTAAAGTGAAAATTATTTGAATAAACATTATTTTTGATTTCTGAAACTTAACTTATCTTGCATAAAACTTTAAAAATGGTTAAGAAATGAAAAAATCGCAAATTGAAGGAATTTTTTTATCCATCTGCTTCACAATAATTTTCATTGTTACTAAAACTCCTTAAAATGAACAAATCATTAAAGCTAATTTAGAACAAGAGTTTTAAACCAAAATATCACAATTAGATGCTTTTAATTTTCGTTTATTAAAATAAAACTTCTCTTTTAAAAGAGAAATAATATTTTTATATTATACTTTGCTAAAGTAATGTTATGATTACAAATTAGTGTTATAACACCGCTACAAACCAAATTTCTTTTCTTTTTTCTCATTTCGCCATGTAATGCATTTAACCGATCATTAAAAGAAACAAATTAAATTTTACAAAAAGAAGAAGAAAAGACTGCAAACATATTCATTCAGTTGATATTATTTTATTATTATTATTATTATTATTATTATTATTATTTTATTATTATTATTATTACACGCTTTTATTTAACTCACTCTGTTATGGAGCGTCAAATCTTGCAATCGATTTTTCGACCACTTCTATTGCTCCAATTGAGCTCAAATTTTGTATACACACGTATTCCCGGTGACAATACTATATTGTAACACTTTGGAACCACAAAAATGCTTAATTATAGTACAATTTAAGTAAAACTTTTTTATATGGGAAAAAATCCATTGTCAATGATATGAAATTTTGATTTGTTTAAAATATTATACTTGAAATGCTCAAAAGTCATTTATGTGATTCATTATAGTTTAAGTAATATTACTAATTATTGATTTTACTATAAATTTGAGCAGCTAAAGATATTTTGGCAAGACAAAAAATTTGACAAGTAATTTTTTCATGAACATTCGTAAGTGAAAATTTGAATTTTCAAAAAACCGTTAAACACAAGTCCGTTACTAATTAACAAATCTTTCTTTATTTCAAATTTGGAATTATTGTAGTTTAAGTTACATTTCTCTGAGTCTTATTTTGACACCAGCCTGAATATGGCTTTAATTCAACTATATCTTGATTAATTATTAATTTTGATGAATGAGATTTACATATATCATGAAAATGTGGCATAAAAAGTTTAAAAAAAGTTGCCGAGCGAGAAAAAAAAAAAAAAAGCTTTTTTTTAAGCTTATGAACTACGTTAATAAATTATTTTTGAACTGCGTTACTAATTAATGCAAAATAACTATCAATATGCGATGTGCATTTAGCACACATATTTAGAGCATACATTTATGCTGTTTTAATTTTTTTACAATATTTATTACACTTCACCAATTTAATTATGTTAATTATTCTATTTATTAACGGCTTGACATATTTTTGCATATCATATAAATCAGAGATCGAAGCCGATTTTTTCGGCTTAACTCAATTTTTGATTTTTTTGATAGAAAAGAGCCATTTAACTACCATTTTAAGTATTTAAATTAAACTTTACATGCTTTACTATGATTCTGTGTAATATTTTGTCAGCATGTAGCTATAGTGAGCTCAGAATTTCAATTTAGCCGATTTTAAGCCGATCGGCTTAAATTTCGGCTTAACATTCTTTAACTTGAAATTCTGAGCTTCCTATAGCTACATGCTGACAAAATATTACACAAAATCATAGTAAAGCATGTAAAGTCCAATATAAATACTTGAAATGTATGTTAAATAGCTTTTTTCTTTCAAAAAAATCAAAAGTTGAGTTAAGCCGAAAAAATCGGCTTCGATCTCTGATATAAATGACATTCATTAAATTTAAATTTGAAAAGATCCGTTATAAATACGTTACGTATAGATGTGATTTTCATCTTTATGTTAAGAATCTACATGTTATGTAGTAGGAATGGGACGGAAGTCTTTATTTGAAGTTAGGACATTTTTAAAAGAGTTTCATGTATTTTCAGGTATGAATTAAATAATTTAAAACGAATGAAAAATTTTGACAGTCTTTACTAATTACCCATTAAAAACTGTTAATTCATAAAAAGTTGAATGAAACGGAGTGAAGCGAAGTGAAATCTAAAACTTCCTGTAATCTAAAAACTGTAACCTCCTTATTAAGTTTGATAGAGCCAGTGTTGTAATAAAACAAAAATTCCAAATTTTGGAAGTTGAATCGATTTATAGATTTGATAAAACTAAAAAGTAGAAAATAAAATACTATAAAAAAAAACTTTTTTAAAAAAGCACGCTTTTATTTCCGATTACAGTGCACTAAAAAAGGAGAAAATAATTTTTTTCTGAGAACTCAAATTTGATACAAAATTTTATGACTAAAAATAAAAGCGTGGGGCATTCTTGCATGCATCACTAAATCTTGAATTGTGACAATTAAAAATCGTCCATATATGTTTACAAAAGCATTAGGTTTGTGAATATATTATAGAAAATCTAGAGCTGGTTTAAATTAAACGCCCCACGCTTTTATTTTTAGTCATAAAATTTTGTATCAAATTTGAGTTCTCAGAAAAAAATTATTTTCTCCTTTTTAGTGCACTGTAATCGGAAATAAAAGCGTGCTTTTTTAAAAAAGTTTTTTTTATAGTATTTTTTTTGTTTCTAAAATATACTAAATATACACCATGAAACGCAAACGAAAAAGATTACAAACAAAACAGTTAAGTAATTTAATTTCTTTCAAATGCAAATAATGTACAGTTGCAGTCTGAGTACTACATAAGAAGACAAAGAATATACGTAAAATAAATTTTTCTCATCCATCTTAAGATAATGAATACTAAATTAGAATTTTGTTCTGTGAAGCGAAAATATTAAAGCAACAAGGTCAGGCACACATTTACTCGCGTTCCCTGCTTTACATTTTTAATCAAGCAAAACTATATTTTAGACAAATAATTTTTCTTTGTTAAATGATTTCCTATTTTCTTTCATTTGACATTTTCACTTTTACGCAGAAAAAATATCTTTTCTTTTGAATCCATAACACATTAGTGACGAAACATAAAATGATTCTTTATTTATTTTTTCTTCAGTTCAGAACACTTTAGTTTTTTTAAGGGCTTTAATGTTCACAACGATTTTCCAAAAAATTGTTTAAATTTTTATGAAAATTCTATTTTGTTTTTCTTGTAAGAACCAAAAATTTTATCTTAATTTTTAAATTCATTATCTTTACAGACACGAATTTTTAAGTATTTCATATTGAAGAACTTTAAAAAATCCTGGAATATACGAAAACGAATAAAAAGTCATAAAACTAATATCTCATCATCACATACTATTTATTGCTTAAAAAGAATGATGTGTTAAAAATTTTACGAAATATTTGGTAAACGAATAAACAGAAATTTTCATAAAGTGCAAATCAAAGTTCTTAATGAAATACAATTTCAATAGAAACATTAAGGCAAACATTTCGTTATTTATTATTAGAGAATAACTAGAAAGTATTCTTTCTACCACATTTGTACTTCAACATAATTTGTTTTTTAATGAAGTAAATTTGTCGGCAATAACTTCGAAAACAAAGGATAAAAAAGACGATCTAATCAAAAAAGTAATTTGTAAAAAATTTAAAAAAAAAACGATTAAAAGATGGATCGCAGTATCGATTCAATAGGCTCATGCTCACTAGATGCTGACTCTACAGATTTTTCAGGTAAATGGCAAAATTGTATTTCCTTTTAAAAAATTAACTTAATTTTCCACAAAATGAATGATGACAATTAAGATAGAAGCAGTGTCCTGCTTTTCTATTAATTTGCATGATGAAATTTAAAAAAAAATAATTAGACAATGAATTTGATTGAATTAATTGATTTAATTCTTCACAACGTTTAATGCTTTTTGCACATCAAAAGATGAGAGTTATTAAGTTGCACACAACAAAAAAAAAACGACCAGCTAAAAACTAATAATATGTAGAGCATACAATAAAATAACATTAGGATCAATATTGATCAATAAAATTTGAAATATATTAAAGCATATAAGTTATGATTAATAAATATGTAGTATTTAATATACAGATTTAGTGAAAGGCAGAAATTGTCACCGAAATGTTTTATGCCTATAGCCTACAAAAGAAAGCTGTGAGCTTCACTTCTAGTACATACGGTTAGAAAAAGGACAGGCCTTCGTATGATTATGTGTAATATTTTGTCAGCATGTAGCTATAATAAGCATAGAATTTCAAATAAACTGATGCTTAGCCAAAATTTTAGCCGTTCGGCTTAACATCGCCTAACTTGTAATTCTGAGCTTACTTTATAGCAATATGCTGACAAAATTTGACACAGTATCATAAAGCATGTAAAGCTTAGTTATAATACTTGATTTGTGTTAAATTGCTTTTTTCTATCATAAAAATCAAAAATTGTATTAAGCCGAAAAAGTTGTAATCGACCTCTAGCGCCTAAAAGTTTTTCAAAAAACTGTATAGCACAAACAACTGAAAATAATAAAGTTATAGATAATAACTTAAAATTATATTTATATAGATACTTTTAAAAATAAATTGAAAAGTTTTCTGATGGCAAGTTAAAAAGCTACACACCGTAAATGGATTCAATGAATGTTGTTGCGCAATGACGGGATCTAAAGTTCCAAAATAAGTTGACATGATATACACGACCCACGTAATTTTTGCTTAAATAATTTTTTACTAAATGCGGTGCTCTTGTGATTAAATTAATAAAAAAATATGTATATGATAACTGTCGTAGATTGTCTGAAGGTCAAGGCAACAGTATAATAATGAAGTGAAATTTACATACGCTAACAAATTAAATGTAGTAAAACTCTCCAAATTTACAAAAAAAAAAACCTACACAAATTAGTGGGATAAAATAAAATCACTGTTAAATAAAACGCAATTCAAATGATTCAACACGATTTTTTTTCATTTTATATATGCACAAAAATCCCTTATGTAACTAATAAGTGTGTGAGTTCTTAAAAATTTTAATGAACGAATGAAGGTGGAAGTTTTTGACATTTCACAAAAATTATGTTTGTTTTGACCCGATGTTTTATTCTTGACTTTCCCTTCAGTTTTACAAAACTAATCTATTTATGTTTAAACTATTTCTCCCTTTTTACGTATATTTTCACCTCAAATTATGCAAACAATGAATTAAAGATACATCAGAAAGTATAAATTTCATTTCACCTTCAGCAACACGTGAAAATTTTACAGCCGGCATTACAGAACGAGTTAAAAAGATTCAAACGACACAACCTCTCACACCCAAACTAATATTAAATCAACCAGCAAATCAACGTACGGCAACAACGACTGCATATTTTGACGTTAATTCGGGAAAAATTAGCACAATTGTTGAGAGCTACATTAATGGAAACTCTGAAAAATTTTTAAGCACTAAAACAATTGAGTTACAATCTCCAACAATAGTTACACATGCTAATAAGAAACCGAGTTACCTGAATTTGGCTTGCTGTGTAAACGGATACTCCAACTATACAAATTACGATTCCATTGAAAGAAAAGAAATTAACAAATCTCGCGAAGTATCACCAATAAGACCAATTATTACAATGTCTCGACAACCAAGATCAAATGATAATTTATTATCAGTTCCACAACCTGTCACATTTGTTAAGCAATCCCCTTTAGCTAGTATTACAAAACGATTTGCATCACTCAATTTAAGCGAAAGTAGAGATACGACTGACAATGCCGTCAATGGAAATATTTCAAATCGTAAGAGTTTTATACAACAACGTGTTGAAAAGCTTTATGGTACCAGTAAAATTCTCACAACAACGACAACTGTCAAGACTTCAGAAACAATTAATTTGAATGGAAAAAATCATCATGTGAATGGTGGATCGTCAGGAAAAGAAATCGATGAGAAGGAAAACGATGAAGAGCTTTCCATGAACTCTCTTCCTGTTATGAAGCACTTGCGACCAGAGTTTTGCCGTCAGTTGAATTTTTTAAACTCCCCTAAAAAGACACGAACAGGTAGGATAAACTTCTCAGCAGAGCTCAAAGTCGATGATATTTTGTATGGAGTCTAGTCGACTCAGCAATACAAAATCGATGAAAATCTCGAGTTGACTTCGAGCTCTGCTTCTCTGTTAAATTATTCGCATAACAATTTGGGGTTCCTTGATTTGCATAGCAATAAATAGGCTTTCCAGATCTTTTGGTCTCGTGTAATTTCCAGGACCGGGAAATCAAGAAAGCCTCGAATTTACCAAACCAGTTCAAAAACCTTTAAATACTTAAAAAATAACTGCCGAAAAAGATTTAAATTTGGCTATCTGGATCGGTTATTTGCTATAATTTGAGCAAGGTGTGGAAACTCAAATATTATGCTGATATTATTCAAAATAATTTACAGTCCCGCTTTAAATTTGAGGTATTATTATTATCATCCTTTAAAGTTAATTAAAAAAACTGACAAAGGAAAGCAAGTTAAGAAAAAATCGTAGTAAAATGTATAATATATAAAAAAAACTTATTTACTATACTTGCAGGCAATAACGCAAATACATTTAAAAGTGAAACTCATACAGAAAACTCAAATTTGGAAAAAGGAAATTTAGTAAACCAAGTTAATGATAAAGAATTAATAGAAAATCAAATCATAGAGACAAATAATAAGGAAATTGTGATGGAGAGTGTAATTAATAAAAACATATTGCCAAGTACACAAAAGTCAGAAAATAACAATATAGATATAAGTAATAACAACGATATTTTTAACGAAAAGATGGAAATAGTAAATTGTGAAAAGACACCATCTGAAACTGAAATTAAAGACGGCAACTACTTTTTAAAATTGTTGAACGCAGAAAAGGCAAGAATTCTGAAGATTGCTGATGAGGTGGAAAGTGAATTGAACGATTTACAATCTGATGTGAGATACTTTATTATATATTTTTTTAATTTAATTTGCTAGAAATACAGTCATAATATAAAATTATTTCTTCTAACAGCCGTCAAAAGTTCCCTCAGAAGAAGTTGTTGGTATAATTCTGTCAGCAATTGGAAAATCACGTCTTTTAGCTACTAAGAAATTTAAGCAATTTGAAGGTATGAAATAAATTACATTTACAGCACGTGAAGTCTTCTATAAGTACCAATTTCTAAACTCTCGACTTTAGGCCTTTGTTATGAGAATCTCACACCTAATATGGATGGTCCTCAAACTCTTTCTGGTGATTTACAAGGATTTTGGGATATGATGATGCTACAAGTTGATAATATTGATGCTGCATTTGACGATTTACAAAAATGCCGAGCAAATGGATGGAAGGTGCGTTAGCAGTAAATGTAATAATTTTTGGAACTGTAAAATTTATTTCGCATCTTTTAGAAGCCACAGCCACCGAGTCCATTAAGTGCGCCAAAAGGCACACGTCTTACAAAAAGACCACTTTCACAAACGCAAAATAATAAAGGAAAGGTAACGTCTACAGTAGTAAAGAAATCTTCCATAGCATCATTAGAAGCAACCCAGAAGCGAGATGAGCAAAGAAAGATACTCTTAGAGATGAAACGAAAACAAAAGGCTGCGATGAAACAAAATGGGACATTAGAAACAACCGAAAACGACGAGAAAAAGGAAAATTAAATTGGAATGATCCTTTATAGAATCATCTTTTGTGTGAAAGAAAACTTTTTTTTATAAATGAATTGTTTTTGTTTTTCCCCTAAAGTTTTGTAGCTTTTATATTGAAACAGTTTAATTGTTAAATGCCTTTAATAATATTCGCGTTTTTTTTTTATCCTACTCAAGCAAGACATGAAATGTTATCTTCTCAATTTGAAAATAGAAATCATTCTTCATCTCTTAATCGTCAGTTCAATATCACCAGAAATTTATTTTAGCATTATTTCTACCTGTATGGATAAGTTTATAATTTGTTTAATAATTAACTAATATTTTATTTGTCAACATTTTCCACTGAAAACCCTATCTACCTTAAATAATTCATATGATCATGTATATTTTTTTATTACTCATTATTACAAAAATTAATTATTTTATTCACATTTGTTTTTGAAACATTAAAAAAAATTATGATTTTAAATCTTTTTTACTCTGATCATGGTGCCAAATTCAGTGTTTTATAGAAGCACCACTTAAGTCTTAATGGTTTTCACATCTTTGATTGATAGCAATGCAATTGCAATTAAATATTTCTGAGTATTAAGATATAATTCGCAGACTAAATACTTTATGTATAAATTCCAAAATTATTTCCATTATTATTGTACAAATTGTTCTTTCCCCATCATTTTAGGCTATAAAAAAAACTTGAGAAGTTAAATTTAAATTTCTTCATTTGTTTAATAATGCCTTAAAATTTGTCAAATGCTTTTTTAATAAAAAAATGTCCTTTTAAGGAATCTATTTAAACTTGTTTTGTGTAATATCGAAGTTAAAAAATTTAAATTGAAAAATTATTTTTAAGTATTTCGAGTACTTATTTGTAAATTTTTAATCATTTCACATATTTTCTTTTATTTCATTCAATCTTTATATTAGTTTGAGTTAATCACATAATGTTACTATCTAACATACATGCGTTACGAACTTTTTTTTAAAAAGATGATACACAATTAGAAATAAAAAAATAAATACGTAAATTAATTCAAAATGTTACATCTGCTCGTTTCATATATTAAAACTACATTATTAACAAAAATAAAAAAATTACAATATTTCCAAAGTTTTGAAGCAAATTTATTTAAAAACTAGTAATGAATTTTCGATTCAACTTGATTTGCAAAAGGTTTTACTAGTCAAAATTCAAAAGTTAATTAACATTTATGAACAAATTTTTTTCAGTCAAGCATAATTAAAATTGAAATTTTAAAGCTTTTTATTCCAAGTTTCTTTAATACTTTACTCATTTTAGGAAATTAGGAAGCAAAATTAATTTTAAAAATGTTAGTATTAATAAGACACTTTAAAAATAACTTTTTTTTAAAAAAGCACGCTCCTGGTACACCAATCATGAATGAAAACTTTAAAAGCTAGATTTCATGGCATTAAAGAAATAAAGTTAAAACTCCGTTGTTAAATCAGCTGTGTAATGCACGGCTTAGCATTTAACCGACATCTACCCAGAACGAACAGAAATTTTCAATCAGTAATAAAATTTTGGGTGGGGGTGGAAGTGGTTATTTTTATTTTTAAGATAAGGCTAAACCCAAGCTGAAAATTCGGTGTGAATATAAAAATCAAGCAGGTAAATTTTAAACAGTTGGAAATCATTAAAAAGCTTTAACATTAGTTATTAGCTGCAATTGAAAATATAACGCAATAGATGGCGTTATACTAAGGATGATAGTTAGTGAAAATTGGTATATGCATTTTTGTGATTGCTGACATGATGCCACCTTTATGTGAAATTTAAAATTTTTATCGGCGTATAAAGAGTGAACGAAAAGTTTTGTTCATTATTCAGTTTTATTGTAAATTTCAGAGTGAAAAGTTCTATTAAATATTCTGGCCTTAGTTTTAATGCTTTTTAAGTAATCAGTAATCAGCTGATTTTTGAGTAGAGTAAATAAGCGTGGTTGTGAAAATATTGTGTTGAAATAATAAGAAAATATAATGAAAGAAGCAACGAAAGAATTACAGGAGGCTCTTAAATACAACTTGTCATTTGCTGGGTGTGGATTTTTGGGGATTTATTATGGTGAGAATAGGATTACTTTGTAAAAGGATTGACAACTTTAAGTAACTTATTCATCCATAATATGCAGTCGGTGTTGCTGTATGTTTCAGGAAATATGCTCCACACTTACTTCTACAAAAGATATCTGGTGCATCCGCTGGATCTTTAGCAGCCTGTTCATTACTGCTTGACATGCCTTTAGGTAATTTTTTTACAGAATCAGCAAAATGATAATTCTGAAAGAATCGATAAAGGCGTATTATAATCAGTATTTATCAAATGATACACGCTTAATAATTTTTGGAATAATTCGTTTGATAAATGTCTAGAGGGATTTAAGAATGACGTTAATCATGTAAACACCCATATAAATAAATCAAGTTCGTTGCGCTGTATAGCTCCATGGCAATAGTAAAGTAATAATTAAAAGTAAACATGAACTTTGATTTTTGTCGACGATAGATTGACGAAAAACAAACAAAAGCCTCTGATAAAAGACTTACTAGATAGGTAAACGAAATCAACCTCCAAATATAAAAAATCAACGAAATATGTTTCAAATATTCAATATTCGGACATAAGTGAACTATTTGAAAGTTAAAACTGAGATAATGATACCGATCTTTATTATTTGAAAATTAGATTAATGTCACTATTGAAAAAACTATTAACAAAGAAACTTGATTGTTCATACTAAATGTCAATATTAAATTATAAAAGCAAATATTGTTAAAAAGGAAATCTACAAAAAAAAAGTCAAAAGAATATCCCAAATAGTAAAAAAAAATGATGATGACCTCGTAAAAAGCCAATCAAATAATTATTTATTTGATGAGTCGTTTATATTCTCGTAGTGCAAGGAGAGTGATAAGAGAGGGTTGATTCTCTTTATTAAAAAAATATTTTCATGTGGAAAAGGAAATCAGTCTTTAATGTCAAATTATAATTTATACACTGCATTAGATTATATGCTATAAATAAGAAGTGTTTTAACGAAGGGGTTTTGTTTAATGAAGTCTTCAATTTATAGCATAGTTAAACTTATAATATTAAATCTTTAAGCTGTAAACTGTAATTTTTAATTTAAAATTTTATGATTTTAAGGACTTTTCAAAATTTTACTATTCGGTTAGCTAACACATGCTTTGAACGTCCATGTGATGTTGTTAATTGACGTAAAACAAAACCGTGAATCCATGTACATAGCTCAAATCCATCACTATATTAATTAAATATGTATATGTATATTAAACATAAATGTTTTCTTTACTTCGTTGCCTCTCGTTCTAGTGAATTATAAATTTATCGTCTAATCCAATTTAATTAGATCACGTTCATAGAATGAAGCTAGGGTAGGTCTGTAGGGGTCAGGTACCCCCTCTCATTGAGATTGAAATTTCATACAAATTTTTTATTTTTTTTTAAATATTTTTTAACTTTTACTCGCACTTAATCAACAAAATTAAAACTAATCAGTTTTAAGGAAGAACAATTAAATTAGCTTTCAATAGTTAAATAAAAAATATTTTATTGATTTTTGAAAATAAAAAAAAAATTTGGGCACACCCTTCGAAAAATCCTGGTTACGTCCCTATTAGACAGAACCATTTTTATGCTAACATAGCAATAACATTTTCATTAAATAAACGAATATGTAAAATTATATTCCATTCAATTTTTTGCATGTGATATGTATGCTGCAGCTAATATGATAATAAATCAAATTAATTAACATTTTGTTTTCTGGTTGTTTTACGATCTTTAAACATTTTGCAAATATCATTTTTTGCGCAGTGACTAGAAGCAACAAGTTACATTCACACTATATTATCTTTAATATGATTAGTTTTTATTTACTCAATATTGTTTTAATTCTTTTCTAATTAGTAAACTTCACTTTGTAGGATAATATTTTCCATAGAAGAAAAATTTACTTAAGAAATGGCGCAAGGAATTAAATTTAAAACTTGAATGTAAAATAAAATGCATACTTTACAGAATTTTCATGAGATGTAAAATATGAAGCACATAAAAAAGATTATAAACTGGCAATGACAAATAATTGATATGGTTTTAAAAAGAAGGAATAGTAATTTACAAGTTTAATTTTATCTTTGCATACTTATTTATATTTTCTGAAAATATTGGAGATTTTTTTTGTTAAACTGATTATTGTGTGCGACATGAGCGAAACGTAATCATAAAAACGCGTGATTATTTTTTTGTCAACCTTGAAATTTCTGCTAAAATTAAAAGAAAATGCTTGTTGCGTATACTTATATAGAGTTTAAAGGTTTTTTTTTTGACTTAATAAGTTGCAGAGGTGTAACAAGATTTTCCTGTTTAGTCAGGTGAAAATAGCTGATTAAAAAAACATTTTCTTTTTTTGGATTAAAGATATGATAAACTAGTGTATCGGGTAAAAACCCAAGTGGATATATTCACACCGTACTGAGCTTCGCTCAGCATAAGTTTGAAAGTATAAAGCTAGCGATTCAGCTGAGTTTGCTTACAGCAAGCGTATTTTGCGATTTTCTCAGCAATGCCGCACGCAATTTGAAATCTGTTTTTTTGCAAAAGATGTGAAATTTCAGGTACAAACTTTTCATCTCTTAACATTTTAAGCTATCTTGTTACATATCTTCAAAAAACTGATTTTTCAATCTGAACAAAACCAATAGATTCACATGTGAAAACGGTGTGAATATAAAAATTATTATTGATACCTCAAGATAGATATAAAAGAATGGAGATCCTAATTTGCTAATTATTTTGTTAATGAACATTTTAAATGCTTTTTTTAAAAGGTGAAATGACATCTGATTTTTTTCGCATTGTAAATGAGGCTCGATCACATTCTCTTGGTCCATTTTCACCATCATTCGATATTCAAACATGTATTTTAGAAGGAATGCGTAAAGCAATGCCAGAGGATGCTCACTTGAGAGTAAATGGAAAGCTCCATATCTCACTTACTCGTGTTTATGATGGAAAAAGTATAATTGTGTCACAATTTAACAGCCGTGAAGATCTTTTGCAGGCTCTCTTGTGTGCATGTTTTATTCCAGGTATCAACTTTTTTTATATAAAAACTAAGTTAATACTTTAAATTAATAAACTTTTAATTCTTTAGGATTTTCAGGAATTTTGCCACCTAAATTTCATGGCGTACGATATATGGATGGTGCATTTTCGGATAACTTACCATTGTTGGACGAGAACACTGTTACCGTTAGTCCTTTTTCAGGAGAAACAGACATTTGTCCTCGTGATGATTCTTCACAAATGTTCCATGTAAGACTTTCAACTTTTAAATCTTCCTTTTTTCTTATTACATTATTCTAAACTTTAGTTGAACTTATCAAATACAAGCATTGAGTTAAGTAAGCAGAATGTCTATCGCTTTATGAGAATCTTATTTCCACCAAAGCCAGAAATTTTATCGAATATGTGTCAGCAAGGATTTGATGACGCACTTCATTTCTTGCATCGAAATAATTTGATAAGCTGCACCAGATGTCTTGCTATTCAATCTACATTTGTTCTTTCTAACTCCACGCCTGAACATTATGATCCTGAATGTAAAATGTGCACTACGTCACGAGAGAAATTAATGAAAGAGAAAAAGTTACCCGAACAAGTTATAGATGCAATGGCAAAATACATAGAAGAATCAAATAATGGCTTCGTCAAATGGTTCAAAACTCCTGCTGTGTACTTACTTAAGACGATCGGAATGCCAGCTTCAATCCCTTGTGATATTGTCTATGCAACACTTACTAAGTAAGTATATCTTTGCTTAAAAATATCATAATGTTAGAATCTGATGTTGAAAATGAGAACAAAGGATATTGGTTTTATGTTCTATCTTTTAAAGGCTGTATTGCTGTGTTTTTATTGTTATCCTTATATTCGTTTTTTTGTTGTTTTGATAATATTTTCTTGTAACTCATGTGTATCTTTTTACTGCTGATATATGCCGTTATATACTCGTTTTTTTGAAAAAATTTTTATTTCTTTTCATTCATTTAAAAAAATATATCTTTTATACTTTTTGATACATCCATTAATACATCCTATCATTAAATAATATGAACCGTGTACAGTTTTCAATGCGGAAAAATAGAAAGGCGTAAAATGAAATTTTGCGTGCGTTGTATTATGAAAACACACAGACAGAATACAAGGGAATATGCTAAGCTGATACATGATTACGAAAGGTAAATTATCTCCTTTTTAACCAGGTTGAATTTGTATATCTGTGTTGGACTTTAAAAGCTGCCTTGTTCAAAGAGCGTTTTTATCTATGTCTAGATATTGTGTTTTTTATTCTGCTTGTCGCATATTCCTTTGTTTGTTAGTGTTATCTTTTGTTATCATTTAGTTGTACATTCAGTGAGCATAACTGATAAAGATTATATATTTTCTTCATTATAGATTACTTGCAACAGCGCCGACAGTACAAAAGACAATATGGGGACTTACTAAATTCTTCATGGAAAATTTGCATCGATTGTTTATTCCACGTTTTGGGTCTTCTGATAATACTAATGCTGAGTACGACGAGACATTAAAATCTATGTATGATAAAGATCCGATACTGAAGCATTTTAATCATATTGAAAACAGAAAATCAATTGTATCACTAGTCGATTCATCAGAAGCTTTAGAATCAGACTTTGAAATTCGAGGCAATATGCTATCAAGACGAAACAGCTTATCTATGATATCACGTCGTAACAGTGCAATACCACAACAATCATTAATGATTTCAAGTTATCATTCATCTGATGTTGACACACTAGATCAAGTTGTAAATGTCGCAGCTACGAACACTCTCTACTCATATTACTATACTGACGAAACTGACAAAACGGTAAAGCATGAAACGATGATATATATATATATATCAAACATATCTTGCTACATCTGAATTATCATAAATTCTTATTAATATACTCTTATTTTTTCTTCAAAACAAATAGATGAGATTTAACAAAATTGTTGATGTGACCGAATGTGACGAAATGTTTGTACAAACTCATAGTGAGCGCATTGCAAATCAAATGCTTCAATATGATGAATTAGATATTAACATGATGTTAGATAATGATGATGACTATTCTGATCAAGTAATTGATAATCTTGAGCATGAACTTGCCATCATTCATCCTGAATCTGTCGAGTTATTAGACGATTGGAAATGTGCTGAGATTAAAGTAGATGAGATTGTGAGCGATGCGATGGAAAATGAAGAGAAACGACTTGATTTATCGTCGGCAGATAGCAACGCATCAATGGAATCAATGGATTCATTTTTTAAGCCAGAAGCTGACCAAAATGGAAATAATACTGAACAAATTTTATCTGATGATATTGCTTTTGCCATGAGACGTAATAATCGTGATATATTAACGCTCACGCAGGCAGCCGATGATTGAATACAATATTTTTTTCATTACATTTTCCACATAGAAAATTTCTTTTCTCCTACCTCATCATGACTAGCCATTATTTAATCATTATTTTTTAATTTTACAATAATTTTTTGTTTCACATATCTTTCATTTTCATTTGAGCTCACGTTTTCAATTCATACTATTTGAGCAAACTAATTTTAACGAAAAGATTATTTTATTTAATTTTGTGATTGTGATAGACACCAGTTAGTTAAGATAATAAGAATAATGGCAGAAATATAGATTATAAATTATTGAAATGACTGTAATAATTAAATTATAACTCAGTTCAATAAAAGTGCACTATTTTTAATAATATAAAAGCCTTCATTTATCTTTCTTTCTTTCTGTCATTCCGCTCTAAGCCCCGCCCATTTGATACAAATGGCGATTTTTTTTTGTTTTTGTAAATAGATAATCTTTGCGCAGTTTTGATCTCAATTTAAATTTTTCGATCACCATATAAACCCAAAATATGCTCATAATTTATTACGGGATAACATACTAGTTATTGTAATAAAATCCTACATTTTACAGTACTGCGAATAAAAAAAAAATTTCCTTATTTTATTTTCAAAGATAAATGCGGGATTGTGGTTGCATTGTTGGTTAATTGTTGAGAAATATTTTAAGGGCTTTAGCATCTTTCATTCAGATAAACGAGCTTGTGAAAATGTCGTCATGGTCATTTAAATATTCACCACACACAATACAAAACCATGAGATTTACAGAAACATTTATTTAGAAAAATGCCCTTTTCCCTTTTCTCGTTTCATGCGGTTAATGACATTTCATAGTATTATCCTCTGTAGTTTTGTTTATTTTTAAAAATTTCAGGATGATTGTTATTAAAGTTTACGTTAACCACAACGATGTTGCAAAACAAAAATAATGTTTTACTTAATTACAGCTTATTCCGATGTTTCTTTCTGTGTTCTTTATCACGAAAACTCTTTTTCTATCTATCAAAGATAAATAAATATTTGCAAATAGTAAAGCCACATAAAATATATTAATCGGTAATTAAAAATTAGATTGTAAAAGTTAAATTCATGGAATTAAAACCATGTTTTGGATGTTAACAGATTTTTTAAATCACATTTTATTTAATATATTACAGAATCCAATCAATTACAATAAGGAAAAAAATAATTTGCATTTTTTCATAAGTAATAATACTTTACAAAGGGACACATTTAATTTCAATTTACGTTGGTTTTAAGACTTTTATCAGTTTTAAGAGAAATTTATATGAAGAAAAGTAGTTATAAAGAAAAACATCACCATTAACATCAGCAGCAGCATCAGTGAAATAAAATAACATGAGAAAGCCATGCTTGGGTCAATTAATTTTAATTACCGAAATTTAAATGGTTATGCGGTGCAAGTAAGAAGTATGAGGAGAAACCTTTTTTTTCTTTACTGGTATTTGGCTATGCTATGAAGCGTCAAATAACAAAAATTAAAACATTTGAATTTTTGAGGTGAAGCATTATAAAAGAATGAAATTAAGAAAAGGGAAAAAGGACAACAACTTTATTTACCCACGTTTAAATTCAGTTGTGAGAAAAGAATCATAATTTTTTATTGCTGCAATTGCACTATGGGCCAGAAATGGAAAATTTTTCCAAAAATTATTTCTACAACTTATATGATAGTCCTTATTCTGTCCTACATTTACGTCCTTAAAACTTTGCCTAAGTCGACAGCATGTCCGAGATATGGCACTTCAAAGTTGGTCAGACGACCATTTTCACGTTACATTGAAAATGCTCTCACCAGTCACTGGATGGATGAATCTCCTTCAATTTTTTTTTGGTAATAGCTTTAAATAGTTCCTTCATTTTAAGGTATAAACAATTGCAAAAAACTTTGGAAAATTTTGTGAAAAACTTGATTTTTCTCAAAAACCACGTGTTCGTCATACTTCCGTTTGTGTAGGTCTTCACAAGCACAACCAAAGTTACTAATTTCTTTTTTATATTAAAGATTACATCAAAAGCTATAACTTTTGCATACATGTCGTATAATTTTAACAAAGTTTTGGTAGTGAAAAAAATTTTTTTTATAAAAAAAACACCAATTTTTTGACAAAAATCGCTGTAGTGCTCCAGGGATACCCATGGTAGTGGAATTTTATTTCACATTTAGAAAGCTCTCTGGATATGCTATCAATTAATGCAGTAAAATGAACAAGTGTTCTCTTGGCAAAGAGCACTTTTTTGACTCTGAAAGTCGTATGTCGAGCAAGGTCAAAAAAGAAAAATAATCATAAAAATTTCAGTTTTAAGTAAAATTTAATTTTTTTAAGTTAGATTGATAGATCTTTTTAAAACGCGTCTTTTGAGTATAAATATGTCATAGTTTTGTCAAGTTTCATGATCAGTTTTTTAAAAAAATAGTTTTTTTCAAAAAAAAACTTGAAAAATAAAGTATTTGACTTTAGAATTTCATAAAATGCATTCTTTTTAACATTTTTTTCACTATTTTGTCTAGTTTTGCTCCTCGTTTTTTCCTAAACATAAATCAATAAGAACTTAACATAATTGAAGCCATTTGGAGGTTAAATTGAGTTAAAAATCGTTTAAAATTTTTGTATTTCTTAAATAGTTCTTTACACAAGTATCTAAGATATAAAGTGTTGCATAGTTTTGAAAAGGTATTAAAATTTCCAATATGTTAACATGAAAATTTTAGGAAAATTTTCAAGTAATATAGTCAATTTGGGTAAAAAACGCATTTTATATATGCTAGTTTTTAATGTTTTTCGTTTTTCTCAGCAAAGACTTTATGAAAAACGCTCAAAGTTTGCACACTTATTTGTTATATAAATGTCAATGACTCGTATAAGTTTTGGAATTTTCTATTGAGTTTTTCATGAGTTCTCCAAATCTGAAATTTTCAATATTAAAAATCCTTTTTTCTCAATAATTCCGATTTTTTATTTATAAATAAATATCTTATTTTGTTTCATTTTACAATATCTTTTCATTGATATGTAACAATCTACGAAAAAAATAAGACTAGCGAGGAATCAATAAAAAAAGTGTCAAAAATTTATGAAAATTCTACGCTATTTTAATTTTTTATCCTTTTCTGGTTAATTTTATTAAGTTTTGTAAGAGTATTATACCTTTTTGCAAATTTATAGCTTAAGACTTTCATCTGCTTTCATCCACTAAAATTCGTATGAGTTTACGATAAGCACAACTGAAGTTAAATAAGCTTCACGTTGGCGACAAAAGACAGTTCCATATGAAGAAAACCAGATATTAATTTTAATGCTATTTGAGCTATAATATTAAACTTTTTCATTTAGTTTTGTTATAAATGTTTCATGTATTTAATAGCAGCCTGAAGATTTAATTTAAAGCTTTTAAATAATTTGATTTTAAAAAATTCAAAATTTTTGGTTGCGCCAACGTGAAGCTTATTTAACTTCAGTTGTGCTTATCGTTGACTCATACGAATTTTAATGGATGAAAGCAGATGAAAGTCTTAAGCTATAAATTTGCAAAAAGGTATAACACTCTTACAAAACTTAATAAAATTAACCAGAAAATGCTAAAAAATTAAAATAGCGTAGAATTTTCATAAATTTTTGACACTTTTTTTATTGATTTCTCGCTAGTCTTATTTTTTTCGTAGATTGTTACATATCAATGAAAAGATATTGTAAAATGAAACAAAATAAGATATTTATTTATAAATAAAAAATCGGAATTATTGAGAAAAAAGGATTTTTAATATTGAAAATTTCAGATTTGGAGAACTCATGAAAAACTCAATAGAAAATTCCAAAACTTATACGAGTCATTAACATTTATATAACAAATAAGTGTGCAAACTTTGAGAGTTTTTCATAAAGTCTTTGCTGAGAAAAACGAAAAAAATTAAAAACTAGCATATATAAAATGCGTTTTTTACCCAAATTGACTATATTACTTGAAAATTTTCCTAAAATTTTCATGTTAACATATTGGAAATTTTAATACCTTTTCAAAACTATGCAACACTTTATATCTTAGATACTTGTGTAAAGAACTATTTAAGAAATACAAAAATTTTAAACGATTTTTAACTCAATTTAACCTCCAAATGGCTTCAATTATGTTAAGTTCTTATTGATTTATGTTTAGGAAAAAACGAGGAGCAAAACTAGACAAAATAGTGAAAAAAATGTTAAAAAGAATGCATTTTATGAAATTCTAAAGTCAAATACTTTATTTTTCAAGTTTTTTTTTGAAAAAAACTATTTTTTTAAAAAACTGATCATGAAACTTGACAAAACTATGACATATTTATACTCAAAAGACGCGTTTTAAAAAGATCTATCAATCTAACTTAAAAAAATTAAATTTTACTTAAAACTGAAATTTTTATGATTATTTTTCTTTTTTGACCTTGCTCGACATACGACTTTCAGAGTCAAAAAAGTGCTCTTTGCCAAGAGAACACTTGTTCATTTTACTGCATTAATTGATAGCATATCCAGAGAGCTTTCTAAATGTGAAATAAAATTCCACTACCATGGGTATCCCTGGAGCACTACAGCGATTTTTGTCAAAAAATTGGTGTTTTTTTTATAAAAAAAATTTTTTTCACTACCAAAACTTTGTTAAAATTATACGACATGTATGCAAAAGTTATAGCTTTTGATGTAATCTTTAATATAAAAAAGAAATTAGTAACTTTGGTTGTGCTTGTGAAGACCTACACAAACGGAAGTATGACGAACACGTGGTTTTTGAGAAAAATCAAGTTTTTCACAAAATTTTCCAAAGTTTTTTGCAATTGTTTATACCTTAAAATGAAGGAACTATTTAAAGCTATTACCAAAAAAAAATTGAAGGAGATTCATCCATCCAGTGACTGGTGAGAGCATTTTCAATGTAACGTGAAAATGGTCGTCTGACCAACTTTGAAGTGCCATATCTCGGACACGCTGTCGACTTGGGCAAAGTTTTAAGAACGTAAATGTAGGGCAGAATAAGGACTATCATATAAGCTGTAGAAATAATTTTTGGAAAAATTTTCCATTTCTGGCCCATAGTGAATTGTCACGATACTGAGCTGTAATCTATGGCTGTCAAAATAAAATAATTAAAATGAAATCAGTCTTAGAAAATATCAACAAAATTATTTTGCTGCTTCATGATTCTTTTTCTATTTCTCCCTAATATTAAGTAAATGTGTGAAATATATCTAGCAGTAATTGCACATAAAAAGAACCAAGTGAAGGCGTGTGAGAGAAAAGGAGAAAGGTTGGTAAGTTGCGCAGAAATGGTTTTCAAAAAGGTACAATAATTAACATTTTAGATGGGTTAATGCGGTGAAAAATTGCGTGCAATTATTTTCTTTTTCTTTTTATTTGAATTTATTGTTGATGAGTCTGTAACGTGTCCTTCAAGTAGAACGGTGACCTAACGAGTTGAGTGATGTGTAATATATGGGTATTTTGTGCTATTTTGTGAAAGTAGAGAAACAACCTTTTTAAATTTTGTGAAGCATCCAGTTCTGAGATATGAGCATCTGAAAACGGAGCTAGACCTGATTTTTACATGGCGAATCTAAGATGCAGCCTAGCTACTATTTTACACTTTCGACTTTCGTAAATCTGACAAGACTTGACGAAAATTATTCAAACTTGGCCAGTAATTTGTGCAAGCCTTCCTTAACAAAATAACTAAAAAAAATATTTTTATATGACACTATTGCAAATATATGGCGAATCTACGATGCAACCTAGCTACTATTTTACACTTTCGACTGTAAATCTGACAAGACTTGACGAAAATTGTTCAAACTTGGCCAGTAATTTGTGCAAGCCTTCCTTAACAAAATAAAACCAAAAAAATATTTTTATATGGTACTATTGCAAAAATATGGCGAATCTACGATGCAACCTAGCCACTATGGGATAAAATCGAAATTTTTCCAAAAATTATTTTATTGGTTTATTTGAAAGGTCTTTATCCAAGGAATCAGAATCTATTTTAATTTTGGCCCAAAGTGCAGCAGTGCTGGAGATATAGCCCGAAATGTATTTTTATGACCTTCGATGGTTAATATTTTTTTTTCTTCTAATATTTTCAATTTATCAGAACTTTTTCTTGTCTCAACCAATTTTCTTGAAACTTTTTTTAAATGGCAGATATAAGCCGAAACTTTAATATAAATATCAGTCACATGGAGTCACATAAGTTTTACTTCATGGAAAGTGCTTAAAAATTGACAAAACTTCAAATGTTAGTAGTACGGCTTTTTTTGAGTAAGTGGATTTCTGATGCATTTAAATGTTTTTCTTTTTTCATTAAAATATAACTCTTAACCAAATTTACAAGAAAAATATCCCTTTCAAGGTTTAAAATTATATTTATGCATCAAAAAATTGAGATTTTTTCAAAAAATTTACGGTTTTTAACTATGTTTTGACTTCAATTGACTATAACTGCATATTCCAAGTGAGTGGAGTGACAAATTTTTACTGTTTTACATAGCTTTCATTTGTATCTTTCTGAAACTGTGAAAACCTGGAAAAAAGTTCCTACAAATTTTCAACTTTGAACCATTTGAACCATGTCATCTGCATGCACCTCAAAAATCTTTTTCAACTTTTTTCGTCAAAATCATGTCATCATAAATCTTTCAAAAATGTTAGAAAATAGTGTTTTTGATATTTTAAAATCAATTTGAGTTTTTGGCATGGACTTGGACCATTTTTATTTGAAATGTCATTATTTTCCATTTACAATGAGAAGAAAATGACTTTAAATACACTATATGCTTAACAAAAAGTATTTGTATTACCTCTTGTGTTAAGCTGCTTTAATTACCTTTCCAAAGATATATAATATGTTATATATGAGTACAATATCCCTGAATAATTTTGAAAAAACTGAAAAATTACTCAAAATTCGAGGTGTGTGAAGAACCACACTTAACATTTTTGCTCAAAACTGTATAAAATCTCAAGTATATATTATGAATTTGGTACTGTTGGAAAGATAAAAGTACTGGTTATAAGATAAAACTAATTTTTGAGTTGAGAATTTACCCAGGAATTCACTGCAAGAGTGTGGGAAACTTGTCATAGTTTGACCAGCACTATCAGATACAGTAAAGATAAAAATTTTATTTTTTCTCGTATTTTCTTACGAAACATACTTAGAATAGAATGTAATGTAGGGTTTTGCTTAGAGAAAAAACGGCACTGCGATCGATCATCTGTTGTACCATCCCAAGCCATCTATGATAAAATTCCTATGTCCTTGATGAAGCCAATAATGTCCTGATAGTGCTGCCTACTAGTATCCTCATCATTTACGTAATCCTTATCAAAGTGCTTGACACGTTGTACTCGTAATGCTCTGCATTTACAAAGAATATGAATGATTGTTTCCTTATATACCTTACAAAACCTGCAAATTTTACTGTTAAACATATTCAATTTTAAAAAGAAAACTCTTGATACTCATGTGCCCTGTCAAAGCACCAATTAAGATGCTAAGGTCTTTCCATGATAGTCTGAGAGCATCCGTTATTTTATTCTTATTTTTAGGACC